TTTCTTAATTAAAGTCTTGACGTAATTAATAAAATATAGGTCCAGGCCTGGCCATTGTGATCGCTAAATACGCAGCTAAATTTTGTACCTTTTTTGTGAAAATTAAAAAATGCTTTTCTTTCAATCTCCTTTATTATTTGGAAATATTCTTTGAAAATGTTCGAATCTCCATGTGTAATAAATCTAAAATTTTGTTTTTCAAGATTTAATACATACACATATTAAAATTACGTGTATGTGTGTACATTTAAAACTTCATTAAAAGAAAAACCATTCATAATATATTTTCTTGCGGAAAATTGAAAAACAAATATACAAACGTAGAAAAAACAAATATTTTTTTTATAATAATTTAATGTCTGTGTTGCCACATGCAATAACTGAGATAAGTTCTTTAAGCCTAAGAGTAAAAATGTGTTAGTAGTAGACCTTCTAATGTGTTTAAATGAAGATCACGGCTAACAGAAATACAGGCCTGGACTCTAAGGGAGAGTGACAGTTCACTGTTGACAGTGTTGACAGTGAGGAAACAATACGTATTCTTATGGAAGCTATAGAGGACATTTTTAACATCATAAATCTCCCTCAAGATCAACTATATTAAATTTCTGAATAAAAAAAAATTAAAAATCAATCTTTTTCTACTTGACTAGTGCTTTAAATTCTTAAAGTTTAGTGTTATTATAACATAAAAAAAAATGATTTAAAAAAAACCATCCAGGCTCTGTTCATTTTTTTAAGATTTCAATATATTACAAGACAAAAAAAAAGTGCAAATTTTTTTTCGAAGTATTTAGTTGATTTTTGTGTTTTTTTTTTAATTCGAGGAAATGTATACCTCTCACCTCTCTAAAAATAGTTTATTCACGCTTCCCTACTATGGAGAAACGCATTCCCGCCGAAAACTCGGTATTCAAAATTTGTTGCCATCACATAAACTTCCTCATTGTATTCACAATGCGGCCGATAATATAGCTATTTTTCTTAACTCACGTAATTAACCCTTAAATTCGAGCATTATGCTAACGACTTTTTCAATTTGTTTTTTGTTTTATTTCAATTACTGCTTACATTGCTCATCCGAAAGGCATGTAATTTTTGAAATATATTCATGTATGAATAAAAATTGTTTTAATAATGTAGTACATAGCTAGATTGTTTTTAAAAGCAGTATTTTTACTTGTTGAAAGGAAAAGTGGTAGATACATTACAAACCATTGCTTTGACCCAACTTTTTATATTATTTTCACATTGTAAGTATAATTCACTGGATAACCTAAAATACCTATGCAAGTTTCTTTATAATATTTTTATTATGCTTGGTTTTATATAGGGCAAAACTTGATACAACGCATTTTTCATAATGATTATAACATTACAAAAGCACTATAATAATAATTCAAATAATAATAAATTAAAGTTTAAAATCTGATAAAATTTTGGTTTATTATACTTTATTTTATGTCGTCTATTCTAGACTAAAAAATATAGCATGAAATTTTTTTTACTCAGTGTATTATCATTTTTACTGCACTTCGTGAAGGGTATATTCAGTTTGGTATGGAGTTTGTAACCATTTGAAGGAGTCGTCTCCGGTATGGACATATATATATATTCTTGCTCAGCGTAAAATTCTGCGTTGATTTAGCTATGTCCGTCCGTCCGTCCAATCGCATGATAACTCAAAAACGAATAACGCAATCGGCACCAAACTTTCACGAGTTGTTGCTTTTGTGCAAACGCCTGCTGCTATTGTAATTGCGTAAATTCGAACAATGGTATTTCAAAATCTAATAAAGGTATTAATAGAAATTTACTAAAAGTGTGTCCAATTATGTTCTACATATATTCTGAAAAATTTAATGGAACGGCTGCACTGGTTCGGGTAGCTGCCATTCAATTCCGAAAGTTAATTTTAAATATTTGGAAAAATATTAAGGCAAGATTCAGGAAACTCGGTTCAAAAACAAATTTTTAAACTCAGATTGTTAAAGAGCTGGGTATTATTCAGTCGGTTTATAATGTTTTTACTTGTTTCTCAATTCTCTCAAATATATCTGACATGTCGGTTCAAAAAGCTCTAGATTTCATTTTAGTACAAGAATTGTTAGATTTTCATAGAAAAGTTGAAATGCAAATAGGAAAAAATCATCTTTTTTCAAAAAAAAAAGGTTCAGAAATGTCATCATGGTACAAACTCATTCGTGGTTTTAACACATACATTCACAAAAAAAAAAGAAGAATCCAGGCCTTGATATTTTTGTTACGTCAAGATGAAGATCAATAAATAATATAAGGTTTACAAATATTTGTATATATCATAAACTCCTATAAAGATGTCTGTGGGTGCTAATAATGTATGTTTGAGTGCGTTACATTTATACTTAATACAAATGTGTGTGTATTATTTACATTTGATTGAAAACATCATAAACTCCTATAACTTACAAATACATAATATTAAGATGTCTGTGAAAACGTTCGCATTTGCATGTATGTATATTTAATCTGAAAAAAATATAATAAAACCAAAGAGCAAGTAAAATAATCTTGCTTTATTATAAATGTATTTCAATTTTTTTTTGTATTTACAAAAAAAAAAGTTATTATTATTAGTAAATTTATTTGAGTTGATTGAATGCATATGTTTTTGTTTATAAAGAGAGAAATAAAATTGTGTAATTAATAATAGTATTACATTCTTTTCAAGGAAGCCGTCACACTAAGATCGGAGTATTTGTACTCCAATTTTGTGACTTGTATTAATATACTTTTTCGCTGTTTTTTGTAAATTAGTTTTTGACAGATAATACAGTGTACAATTGGCAATTTTGTAAACAGTTAGTGGAATGTTATTTAAAAAATATGTATTTAATTTTAACGGTATGCATTAATGTTGGAATTGACGAAAAAATGCTATGGTGTTAAAGTGAATATTACATAAATTGTCAAACATAAAGTATTTTCGGTTAGATTTCAAAATATTTTTATGCATTGAAAATGATCTTTCCACATTAGTTTCGGTTACATTGAAAACGATCGTTCAACATCCGCCCTTTTTAGATTTAGATTGGAATAGTTGATAAAATATGTAAAAAAAATCTGATGTGTTCAGCACATAACCGACCGCAATAAATAGTGTCTAGTTAAGTGAAAGTGTTACAGAATATTATAAAAATGTCTGTTAAATACTTCTTTCCAATTTTTAGGACATTAGTAAGCTTAACATACCTAGAAAAATGTAAATTTGGCTCTTAGTAGAGTTTCGTTTTGTGCTACCCGAATTCACTGAAATGCTCGCCAGTTAGTTTCGGCAAGAACCAGAACTCAAATATCAAATTTCAAGAAATTCCATTTATTCGTTGCGTAGATATGGTGAAAAATGTAAAATCGACCCGCAGATCAGTTTTCGAGCTCTGATCTTTCCAAACAATTTATATGTTTATTGTTTTAAAACGAAGAATTTGAATATTAAATTTCAATGAAATCGGTTGGTTATTTCTCTTTATATACGTAAAAATGTATATTTGGCCCGTAGTAAACGTCCAGTTGCTTACGCCTAATTTTTTCAAAAAGTTAGGAGGTTTCGCGGACGGTCGAGCTGAGCCTATATATGAAATTTCAAGTAAATCAAAAAAGATTTTGATTTACAAAAGATTCTTTCAAAAAAAGGTTTTTCTAAATTGATGTCAAATAAAACGAAATTTTATGATTATGGCTAATAAGCACTACCAAAAATAGGTGAAAAGAGATTATAATAAATATTTCAAGAATTAATAAAAGTATAAATATAAATTTTTTTATACATATGTATGTCTAATTGCATTCTACAAATGTTAAAAATTTTAATGGTCTAAAATGGCTGCACAACTTCCAAAGCTAATTTTATATATTTGGAAAAATAAAAAGTTACCTGCATGAAATTTGACAGTCGCGTGTCCAAGGATAGCCCAGATATACTCTCGAAGTTTTTATGGAACGGCTGGACAGGCTTGAGTGGCTGCCATACAACACTAAAAGCTAATTTTAAATATTCAGAAAAATAATAAAATTAGATTCATGAAAGGTGGCGGTCATGTGTCCAATTATAGGTTTGAGTAACTGCCATGGAAGCTAAGTCTGAATATTTGAAAAACAAGTTCTTATACTTAGATTGTCAAGGTGCAAGGTATAATTCAGTCGATTTGGACCGACTGAAACGTTTTTAATTGTTATTATGTAGATTTTAAAAGTACATTATTTGTATGTGCCTATATTTGAATTGTATTGATATTCATACATAATATACATACATAAATACATATTGGGCATAACTAGAAAGTAGAAGGTATTCGAATTTTGGAATAATTAAAGTATATATATAGATTCAAATATATACATACACATACTTAAACACATGCGGAATAGTGAATAGGATAAAATGTGTTGTTTATGTTTTCTCTTTGATTAACTTACTTTTCTTCGTTCTGTAGGAATGATCTCGCAAGCCGCAAGAGAAAAAATTATATATTGTTTGTTTTTAGGAAAACATCTGCTTTATTAAATTGAAAAATTAAAAAAGTAAGCATGTAAGTACATATGTGATTTATAACGTATAGAAGAATGTGAATACATATGTATGAACACTACTATTAATGAAATAAATACTATCATATTTACATACATATGAATGATCATTTGAAAATATATAGCATATAATATACATATTAGAATGAATTTTAGTTCGTACATATAGGCATAAATTTCCGTATTGAATTAATGTATAATTATATGTACACACTTACAAACTTTCGTATATATATATACTTGTATATATGCATTTTATATTCATACATATGTTTATATGTACGCTACATATATTTTCTTTAAAATTTCTTATTTAATTTTGATATAAAGTCTTCTCTCTTTAGAAACTTTTGATTTTCAAATAAAATTTTTAGTACTAATGTTGCCAGCTTCGCTACAAGTTGTATAAGTTTTTATATTTTGATTTAGTCGATTAATTTTATTTCGTTTGTGAATTTGCTAGTTTGACATTAACTTTTTTGTTGTTGTTAGTTATTTTTTATCATTTATTTTATTTTCTATTTGGAGAATTGTTAATTTTTTATTATCTTGTTTGCTTTAAAGTTAATAATTTGTCCGGTTTTCTAGTTTTTCTTTCAGAGATGATAAAAATAGAAAAAATTAAAAAAAAAGGTCTAACAAAATATTTTTCTTTCTAAATCAAATTTGATTGTTGAATGTATTTAGTGAAAATAAGCAAAACAACAAGAAAACAACATGCACCTCCGCATAAATGTATTTATCATTTTCGATAAATGCACTATTAATTTTGATATACATACATATATATATATATAAAAATCGCGCAATTTTTTAACTATGTTTACGGAACATATGTATAAAAATTCTCGAAAGAAAGGTAACTGTTGCAGTTATTTATAAATATTTCGAACTACCTATTTATTACACATTATAGAAAAAAGAAAAATTTGAAATGAAAATTAAAATGAAAACAAAAAAATAATATATAAAAATAAAAAAAATAATATATAAAATGAAAAATAAAATAATATTATAAAAATAATAAAAAGAAAATTAAAAAATAAAAATTTTTTACTTGTATTTTGAGTAAAAGTGGAAATGTGTGTAATTTTTCTGTTACATGTTTATAAAATTTCTATTTTAGGAAAAAAAATTTCATTGTATTAGAGAAAATTAAGGGAATGAACTAGTAAAAAAAGTTTTTTTAATAAGTTTAAAAAATTTTTAAAAATATTTTTTATAACTCAGTGAAATATTTTGATGTGTTACTATAGAAAATTTCGATTCTTGTGCCCATGATTTTTTTTTCTTAATGAAAGGTTTTAATTTTTAATTATGATTAAATAGGTAGATACCTGAAAATGCCACAAATAAAAATTAATAAGACAAAATTAAAACAAATATAAAAAAATAATTGTATATTTACTTTTGGAAATTATTATGGTATTGTAGAACGAAATAATAAAATTCTTATTATAAAATAAAAATATGAGACATTAAAATTTTTATCTTTACTTGCAAAGGAATTTATGAAAATTTGTACATAAAATCTTAAGTTATTTTTTACATAACTTTTTTTATATGTTTTATATGTGTATGTTTAAGTGGTTGAGTATTTGTAAAACCATTAAGTGTTCATGCATATGTATGTAAACTACTACATTTAAAGTTTTATCTTTTGTTTACTTTTCGTAAATACTCTGACCAGGGTTGCCGCCGAACGAAAAATAAAGTTTTTTTTTATTTAGCAAATTTTTAACTTAACCTCCTCAAAAACATAATTTTTTCCATTTTGTAACGAAGCTGAAATAAAAATTTTCGTTTTTGTATACCTTTTTTAAATTATTTAATTAAATATATTAATTAATACATAAAATTATAAAATACTTATTAGCTGCAAAAATTTAAAAAAATATATGTTTTTAGTTGATTCCATGCAGTATCCCACTTTTGGGGTATTATGTTCAATGGACAGCAAATTTAGTTTTTCATACAAGTTTTTATTTTTCTCAATTTTGAAATTAATTTTAACTTATTTAGACCCCCGAAATTTTGATTGGGGATAATACCCTCAATAAATATATGTATATGGATATTTTATTGAGGATATTATGTATATATATATATATATATATTTTGGATAATATCTAAATATGCAAATATTTCCATATTTAATTTTCTTTTTGGAAATTTGTGGTTTGTTTAATTAACATTTCACAAAATTTACATATTTTCAATCATCTGTATATTAAATGTATCCCGCCCTTTGATTTATAATATATTGAACTATTTTTGAATAATTTTACTAATAATTGCAATTCTCATAAGGTATTTTTTATAAGTTGTTAATTCTTATAAAATTTTGTTCTTAAAAGAATTCCTTTATAAGCAAATGTCAGAATATAACAAATGAAATACGCAAAAAGTAACGTAAATATGTTTATAAATTATACACTGCTTTAAGCAATCAGTTCGATTTTATAAAATGGAAAAATTTGATTGGAGAAAAGTAAAGAGATCATGTAGCTTTCGAAAAAAAGCCCAGAAAAAATATCTAGAGTTAAAAGCATCATCAAATTCTAATTGTCATCAATCAGACATAATCATGCCTGACGATTCTACAAATTTACAACAAAATAATAATTTTAGAGTCAAGAATTATCAGTGCCAATTTCATTTTATGTGTTGCAAACGGAAACGAATAATGATATACCTGTAAACATTATTCGTTTAGGGTTCCATTATTCTCATAAGAGGAATTTAATTCTCATAAGTCTAGTTATTAGTTACGGCCATTTTAGTATTGTCATTTTTCCTTATCTAAATTTTAACCCTAATGAGACTGAGAATTCTTTTTTTTGGAAAGAAGTCCGAAAAATATTTATTGTACAGAAATTATTAAATTAAAATTTATTAAATGCAAAATTATAGTTTTATTTGAATATAATTTAAATTTGAATAGATTTTTTTTTGCTTAACAATTCTTAAATTTTAAAATTTAAATAAAAAAAAAATGAAATAAGATATTATAGCGTTAAAAAATATGTATAAAAATTTTTTAAATTTTATTTATTTTTAGTTGGCGTTGCTTTTTTTGAAGTACTTTTGAACTTTTGTCAATAAAAATTTAATGCCAGCAACTTTTTCATTTATAATCATGGCAAAAAAATTATTTTAATTTCTTATAATTTTATAATATTAAACTTTTGAATACAAATATTTATTGATTACATATAATATACGTAAACATATGTATATTTTGTTTCATTTTTGTTCAAAACATAATTATTAAAAGCGAAATAAATATATGTATATTTTATAAAGTTCGAAGTTAGACCGATATATTTATTCTACAATGTATTGCTTTCTCTTTCTAATAAAACCATTAAAAGTGGCTTGCGAGAGTTATTCTAGTATGAGAGTTATTCTAGTATATTAGTTATTCTTATACTAGTTCTGAGAGTTCACTCACTCTTATACTAGTTCTGTTATGAAAGTTTTATGTTTTAAAAACTCTTTTAATGGGAGCTTAACTCTCATTACAAGAATTAGTAACTTTAGCAATTGCGCTCCTTTTTTTCTTATAACGATCTTACTAGGATCTTTTAGTGCTCTACAAAACTGAAATTATAAGAATAATACTCTTTAAGAATTCTCAAGATAGCTCTACCAGAGTCTTTTGAGATAAAAATTGTTACTTAGGATATAAACTGAAATTTCCAGTTGCTTTTTCAAAACTAGAACAATTTGAAACTATGAATTTTTTTCTTTTTCCAATTGTTTTTCTTTTTTCCGTTTTTCAAATTTGTTTTATAAATTTTTGTAAAACAATAGTCTATTTTTAACACTTTTTTAATTTCTTTAATAGATTATTTTTAAATCACGTTAATTTAATAACTAAAATCACAAAACTTTTTTGGGAAAAAATAAGCAATTGGCTTTGAATCTCGATTCCAATTTGAAAATGCTTGGAACAGAAAAAGAGTACTACATTATTGTCTAGTACACCCGTTGTAATTTGTCTAAGTGTAGAATACTCGACGTTCTGTTTAATTTGAAGAAATCTGTCAGACAAATTCATAAGAAGTAAACCCACGAATTGTAAATCTGTCAATTTCTTGAGTTCAAATTTTCATTTTCTTGATATGATACTTCGTCTCAAACCACATTAAATGGTTGCTTTGAGTTTTATTTTTTTTTCAAAACAGGTGTTAAAAATCATCGAAAGACAAAAATAGGGAAATCCAAACTGTCATCAAACCTGTCAATGATGGGCGACTTTTATCCAACCTAAAACGCAACTGGATGGTTAGAAACTCCCAAAACTAGTCAAACTGGCTAATCATTAATTTGGCTCCATCGTGTTTTCGTGCTTACATTCCGTGAAGGCACGGAGGTGCTATGACAGCATCCAAAGTCACACCTGGGTATTCATTTTGTTTTGGATTGATACTATAATAGCATTCAAATTTTATTGTGATGGGTTATTAAGTTTTTGTTTGTGAAGTAGGATTGGTTTATTAAGTTTTTGTTTTTTGGAACCCATGGAAAATAGGTTTGTCAACTTACATATGTTGTTAGTTGCTTCCTGTAAGTTTTTGGTCAATTCTTCAACATTGGATCCTTCTGCCAATATTGCTGTATCGTCGATAGTCGCAATAACCAATAGTCCAATAACTAACCGGTAACATACGACCAGAATATTGTTTTAAAGCACACAAGCCCTAATTTCCCTATGCGTGGTGAGCTCCTCGTCTTTTTGATTCGAAAAGGCCTGTCAGATAAATATGGTTCACTGTTCACTGTTATGATTTGCAAGTGTATCAATTTCTTACGTTTAAATAATGAAACGTCGTGCGAAATCTTCTCGATCAACTAAGCCAGGTCCAGAAATATTGTCGAATATATTTCTTCTAAAGCCTTTTCCACAGTATTTCTTATTCTGTGTACTTGCTAAATTATTGCATGCTTTATTCTAGAAGCAAATTTGTGGTTTGGAATGGATTATGGTTTATTTTCTATTATCGGCAATATATTTAATAATTTTTCAAAAAAATTTGATATCATTGGTTGTAGAGATGTCGGTTTATATGACGTTGCCTCAATCAAGGGTTTCCCTGATTTCCCTATCATAATAACTTCCGCTGCCTTCCAAGCACTAAGAAATGCTTTTCAGAAATGTCAATGTCTTTCTCTCCAGCAATGAGATCAAAACCTAGGGCCTTATTCCCGTGTAAATAGAACCATAGTGCTTTCATCCATAACAAAATCTTCTATTAAACGAACACTAGAAGTTCATTTGGTTTAAAATTTCCTTCCAAGCCATTAACAAATAGTTTAGCTTTATCCCTATTGTTTTTCGCCAATGATCCATGTGTTTTTTTTAGTGGAGGATTTGCTTCACTGGTTTCTTAGTACTCTTCGTTGTTTTCGATAACGAATAGTTGGTTTGTTTAGTTGCGATAAGCCCTTTATATAGTTCCCGCATGATTTAAAATTTTCTATTTTTTTTAGGTCTATTCACAATCGTTTTATCATCTAGGTGAAGCGACTCTTACCATTTACTTCTAGCCCTTCTTTTTTGTACTCTTAAATCAGTTATAGTCCTAGGCCAATTATTCGGTACAGGTTTAAATTCAAAGAATCTTATATTTCTCCAGTCGGCCTTCTGCGTCAATTTAATAAAACTCGTACTTTATAATTTAGTTGATCGGTAGTCGGCAGCTCAGCATTAGGTTTATATTTTAAATAACATCATGTTTGAAGCCTACCCAATCTATAGTTTTGTTATTAGTAATTTTTTGATCAAGGGTTAATATAACAGCAGAATGATCGAAATTCAAACTAAAATCATCTTCCAAGTTCCAAAGATTTGCT